GAAATGTAGGTGAAATGCAATTATAGTTCATTCACATTTCATCTACTTTTTTCCTTTCTCTTTTCAAATCCCTCCTCAAATCCATAATCCAAACACAACGTAAAGCTTTCATGTTAAACTCAGGCTGCAAACAAAGCAAGCTGAACCAAGTATTGGCTTGTTTGCGCTTGGATCAGCATATGTTGGAAAAGTTCAAGATTAGAGATGAAATGAAAAATGTCTTTGAGCTCCGCACAGCCATAACTCACAAAGCTCGCAAGCCTTCCTGTTTGGCTTGATTAAATGAAATCTGCCACAAGGTCTTCAACCATTTCGCACTTCTCATTTCCCAGTTAAAGCTCAAAGAAATGGCTAAAAAAAATGACATGCATAATCTAAAACACCGAATATAATATAGATAATATATATATCTTTTGACAAATAAAACAAGCTTGACATGGAACATAAAAGAAATTAATGCTCACCAACACATCATGTTCACATGCCAGGCAAGCTAGGCACTCCTCAGGCTTGTCTCCTTTATTAAACAAGCATAAATTAAGAGCAAAAACATTCAAAGTGAAATGCAAACCTCAAAATGCAGATATGGAATGGGCACAGTTGTAAAAACAAATCCTGCAACGATGTAATATGAGGGTGGTCTGCCCTTGTTGTGTGCTGGAATCAGCCTTCTGTGACTCTTAAGTTTGACATTAAATTTCAGAGTTTCAGAATTGCAAAGAACTTTAATTGCTGCAATATCTCTGGTATATTTTTGGGATACAACTTAACTAAAACCTATGTGCTCACCATGCCTAAAAGGAACTGAAAGATCAAAAGAAAGAAAATTATTCCCAGAGCTTGAAAGCATATTGCAATGGAGCGGAGAAATAACCTGAATATGACCATCCCCATTTTGAAGGTTACAGATTCCAAATATCAAGATATATCAAGCTATAGCTGTAAAAGGAGCTTTTTTCCTTGTTTTCATTAACATAATTGCATGACACAACACCACAAAAAAGAGATCATAAATATACTTTCAACAAATCCTGTGACATCATAACAAGAACTCCAAAGAAAGTGACAAGACAATTGCTTCTCATAAACAAAGCTACAATATTCATGTTATGAAAAACAAAAAGACAGACTTATATCCCCCACAATGTAAGATGCAAATTAAACTTAATCCTAAAGTACAGCCATGAATTTCAATTGTGTAAAAATGAACCACCAAAAACCAATGTTGAAGCATTATACTTGAAAAACATTAACTTCATTCATCAATATGTCTATAAAAACAACATTACATTTTACAATGCTTTTTACCAAGTGGTTAGACGATGAACTTCTCTAATTCTATGATTATCTATTATGAAGAATTCATAAAAGTAACAATATCATAGATATGTTGCAGCAAACAATGCAACTAAGCATAATTGTGCCAAGGCAAAATCATTAATGAGAGCATATTTTTATTCAACCCTGAGCTTGATGGGGCTAAACTCTGTATTTACATTCTTATAGTGGCACCAACCACAACTAGAATTGTTTTCAAGTATCTGTCCTCTAGTTACTTGATCCTAATTTAGAAGCCACATTATGATCCCAAAACATAATATTGGCATCTTTCCAGGATGCAATTAGAGGATTTTGTAAGAGAACCTCATGCTAAAAAGTAAAAATGTAACTCCAAATTTCAGACTTGTGGTTTGGGTGATGTAAGGCTATTATATTTCGACGTCACATCTGTATGCATGTATATATGTACATGAATAGTTTTAAATTCCCTGTCCCATGTATGTCTGCACAGCTCAATGGACTATGTAAGTTTGTATATTTGCTTCTGTAGCCCCTGTTATATATATTATTCTGTTCAGAGGCCTTCAGTAATCCAAGGATTACTGGTCGGTTACGATGCTAAACCTATAGGGGCAGGTTTGGGTCGTGACACAATATCAGTTTGAATATTGATTTTGAGATCTCAAACAAAAATGTTATTTTAGTACGTTCAATAGTGAAATAGTAAAATTTTACTGTCCAAATTAACAGAGTAAAATTTTGCTGTTTAATAGAGTAAAATTTTACTGTTACCGGAGAATTTTGCCGAAAAATTTTCACCAACCGACAGTGATCGCCGAAAAATTATCACCGGCTGGACTGATCAACAGTGGCCGGCGGTGGTCAGTGATGACAAACAATGGTCGGTGGTGGTTGTGCTAATTTAAGAAAATGAAAAAAGTTAAGGGTATAACTATCATATTTTTAAAATATTTTAAACTTTGTCCTTAATGAATTAAATGTTTTTATCTTGTCCTATTGGCAATAAAGGAAATTGAGGGACTTATTACCAAAAACCCCTTTTTAATTTACTCATAATACTAATTTATGTTTAAAATTAGACAAAAAATATCACATGAATTGTCACATGACATAATATTTTTAGTGAGTTAAATATTAGAATGAATTTAGGTTTGTGTCAAATGTGTGAGTTATATATAATAAAGTTTTTATGTCACGTGGCTATAAATGTGCCATTTTCTATCTAATTTTGGACATAAGTTAGCTTTATAAATAAATTGAGAAAAACTTGAAACATAAAGGGCCGAAGTGGAAAAAAAAAATGATTAGGCTTCTCTCATGTTCACATCTCAACATGAGAGAACTCAAGGGGCCCGTGGAGCTCATATGGGTCCTGTTTCGATTAATCGTTCATTTTGTAAGGCCCTCAATGTATATTATCGATTAAAAAAAATTACGTCATTTCGATAATCGTAACATTTTCCATTTATTGCATTTGTCACCAAAAAAATACATGATTTATTTTTAAAAACACAATTATCGTTTATTTTTTTGTGACAAATGCGGTAATTTAAATACATTACGATTATCAGATTGACTTAATTTTTTGTGCGAATAAAATACATGAAGTGCCCAACAAAATGAACAGTTCAAATAATCGAATTTGGGCCCGTAGTACAGACCCAAACAACACTCTCCACAGATTTTGGATTGAAAGGGATATGCCTAAATTCTTGAAAGATCTAGCGAGTTTCAAATAATCTAAAATTCTATATACACATTGTTCAGTGGTGGTAATGACTTTGTGGATTGTTAGATCTATTTGACTACTGAAAAAAAATTACAGAAAAAATATTTAGAAAATATATTTGATGATTGAAATTAAGTTTATATGTAGATTTTATTATACAAAAAATAAATCTCAATCATGTACTATTTTTCTAATTCAATACATAATCCATAATTCTGAATCCATATACTTTCCTATTTAAGTATGAGACTTACATCTACATAGATTTAGCTCATGTTTGTGGTCCATGATCTAGTCTACTGAAAAATTACTTGACAAATATAAATAGAAGCACACCACACATACTAAAGGAAAAGGAAAAATTCTAATATACATCTTTTTAAAAAAGGTGTACCATATGCATTTTTAGTTCTGTCATTTTCTTTTTTAATTATAACTAATTTTCTTTTTTAGTTGTGACATTATTTTTCCTGTTTTTTAGTTATGACTCAAAAATTAAAATTATGTCATTTTTCTGTTTAGTTATAAGATACATATGTGCATCCTAGTGTTTTCCAAGGAAAAATACAACAAAAATTTATATATAATTCAACAAAAAATTAACTACATCCAATATCAAAAAAATTTGACACCAAAACTCTAAAAACGATCCTTGTTATTTGCCATTCGAATTTTTCTGTCTCCCCTATATCTTCATAAGCTCTCAATCTCACACAATCCTTGTTACTTATTGTGGGGATATACTTTTAGGGTCATCCACGTGACCTATAGGTTATGACAATAAATTCAGCTTACTAATTGTGAAACATTTAATTACTCAAATGTATCAACAGAATCATTTTCTTTTTTCTGCTACAAAAATTTATATTTAATTCAGCATAAAATTAACTACATCCAATATAAAAAAAAATCGACACGAAAACTCTAAAAACGATCCTTGTTATTTGGCATTGGAATTGTTCTGTCTCCCCTATATCTTCATAAACTCTCTCAATTTCACACAATCCTTGTTACTTACTGTGGGGATATATTTTTAGGGTCATCCGCATGGCCAAGGTTGTTATCCGAGGTGCCACGTGGATGGGCCATGTTGCCGAGGTTGTTGAGATATTGTTGAGGTGTCATGAGATATTATCGGGGTTCGAGATAAACGAATAAAGGACAAAAGTCCTAGATGAATTCGGGCACTCTATTTAGATAAAGATGAGGCTCTTGATAGAGGTCATCCTTATCTAGCTGAGAATCCAAGATAAGTGTTATTCTTGAGTCCTATGAAGTAAGACTTCTAGGGAACGAGGTCACTACTTGGCTATAAATGTAAGGTACCCCCATGGGTCTAAGGTATGTGATTTATTGTGAGCCTTTGACTTAAGTTAATATCCTGTAGGATAAGATTACTGACTTGATTATCGGAGTGCCTCCGGGTGGATGAGCTACCGTGGTATCTCTTGTCTTTTTGTGCACAGGTGTTGGCTTAATATTTTCTTTCATGTGCTGAAGAGCTAAGTTCCCTAGATCTCAGCAGAGAGATCTGATTGATTATAAGGCCAAAAATCAACATCCACAATTTGACGCTATTTGTGGGAACTTAGTAAAAATAGATGGCCAACGCTGGACAAGAAATAAGAGTAGGGGATGACATGTACAGCAAGAACGAAGAGCACGTTAATCTAAACATCGGAGGAGATGACAATGATGAGGAGCAAGAAATGGATCCGAAAACAAACAATGTCGCTAAGGGCCGCAACAGCCTGAAGAACTGAAACTAGGAGGAGTATTATAATGAGTGCAATTTCTAGGTCTGGAAGGGCCGATGCATGTGAAGGAATGATGAGGTAAAAGACCTAGGGAATAAGTTGACAAACCTACAAACTATGGTAAACTTTATGATGCAAAGCAAGGTGATGCAGCCGACATTACCATTATAGGCAAAGCCACCGACTGCTGTAAACACCGGCGACAATGCGACTTACATTGTTCCAGCAAATCGAGTGCTAATGTGGCTTTTTTCATCTTCATTAAGCCTAGCCAATCCGAAGTTGGAAATTTTAGGGTTTAGGTTTTCATCAAGCAACACATTAGTAGCTTTAATGTCTCTATGAACAATCTTGAGTCTTGATTCCTCATGTAGAAAAGCTAAACCTCTAACAATCTTAATGCAAATCTTAAGCCTTGTTGGCCAATCAAGTATCAATTGGCTGTCATATGGATTTGAACATTACACAACACTCCAAACATTGCTACAAAACTATATAATTAAGGCTAATAAAAGCATTGTCAGCAATTAAGTGTTTGGCAATTAAGAAAACAATAGAACTTACAGAATAAGCTACGAGCGAGGCTATTGTTTTCCATGTATTCATACACCAGTAACAATTGGTCCACTTCAATACAACATCCATGAAGCTTAACAAGATTTGGGTGTTGTAAGCAGGAAATCATGCCCATTTCATTCAAAAATTCATGATTTCCTTGATTTGATTTAGAGGAGAGTTGCTTCACTACAATTATAGTACCCTCAAACAATTGCCCCTGCATCTAACATTTACTTAGAATCTACAAAGACATTGCATTCAAATATAAACCAACATGAAAGTTAGGGTCAGACTTACCATCACACACTTGAAACCTCGCTATAGAAAACCTATTTGGCACTTCAAATGCATCCGGTTCCATCGAGAATGGTGACTTCAGCTGCACTGTTGACGTAACCTAGGCACTATTCCTCTTTCTCTGGAGATAATCTTGCAAGTCCTTCTTTGACCATCCAGGTGTTCGGCTATTGATAGATTTCAGCCTTTTCGGTGTGTTGTTTTCCTTGTTGGGATGTGCTCTCTTGGACTTCTCAAAATCCATCGTATTTTTAGAATAGTGACCTTGTTCGTTCTCTTGCCAAGATCCCCTGATCTTATCCCTCATATCCTCTAAGAATCTACTCTCTGTGTTTCTACTCATCCGATGTGTTGAGATTGCAAGGGTGTGCTCGCAAGTCTTTTTCCATGTTGAGAGACGGTTGGCACCGATGTCTGCCCAGGTGATTCCTGGAGAGAGCTTGACGTCTCCATATAGGATTTTGGTACTAGATTTATGCTTTAAAGGGCAATACCAAACTTGAAAAGATAGAAGGCGTCGCAGAACTAGATGTTGGGACCTAAAATGGGATAAACTAGACACATTTAAAAATAGAATGGATAAAGAAGGTACTTAGGACTTAGATGATAATGCTAACACTATGTGGAACTCGATAGCCAATTGTATGAGGAGAATCTTAAGGGAAGAACTTGGAGAGTCGAAAGGAAAGGGACCCGACTTTAGGGAAACTTAGTGGCGGATGGGAAGAGGTCCAAGCGGTAATAAAGACGAAAAAAGAGAGCTTTAAAAAATAGCAGAATGATAGAACTAAAGAAAACCTTAAGCACTACAGATTGGCCAATAAGGAGGTCAAAAGAGTAGTGGGGGATACTAAGTTGAAAGCCTATGATGACTTTTACACTAGACTAGATAGTAAGGAGAGAGAGAAGATGATATACAAACTTGCTAAAGAGAGGAAAACAAGGGATTTTAATCAGGTTAACTGCATCAAGGGTGAAGACTCTAAGGTGTTGGTGAAGGATAAAGAAATTAAGAAAAGGTTGAAGAACTATTTTGGGAAGTTATTAAATGAGGGATATGGAGGTAGGCAGTAATAAGGAAAACCAGGACTATAAGTTATATCGTAGCATTAAGGACTTTGAAGTAGAGTGTGCACTTAAGAAGATGAAATTGAATAAGGCTTTAGGACCCGATGATATACTTCTTGAAGCATAGAAATGTTTGGGTAAGAAGGGGGCTGTTTGGTTGACTAGGTTATTTAGCAAGATTTTGTTGACTAGGAAGATGCCAAAGGACTAGAGGAAGAGTATTTTAGTGCCAATATATAAGAATAAAGAAGATGTTTAAAATTGTAACAACTATAGAGGAATTAAGTTAATGTGTCACACAATGAAAGTGTGGAAGAGGGCGATGGAACATCGATTGTGAAATATAACAGAAGTGTCAGAGAATCAATTTGGGTTTATGCCTGGCAGGTCGACAATGGAAGCGATTTATCTTTTAAGGAGTGTAATAGAAAAGTATAGAGAAAAGAAAAGAGACGTTCATTTGGTTTTTATCAATCTTGAGAAAGCATATGACAGAGTGCCTTGGGATATAATTTGGTAGGTGTTAGAGAAGAAAGGGGTGACAAACGGTTACATTAATGTGATTAGGGATATGTATGAAGGTGTGGTGACCACCATTAGATCGCCTGTTGCAGAGACAAGTGAATTTCCAATTTCTGTAGGGTTACACCAAGGATCAACATTAGGTCCTTCTGTTTTTGCATTAGTTATGGATGAGTTAACGCGCGATATTCAAGATGGTGTGCCATGGTGTATGTTTTTTTGCAGATGATATCATGTTAGTGGATGAGACTAGAGAAGGAGTAAACACAAAGTTGGAGATTTGGAGAAAAGTACTGGAATCTAAATGAATTAGGATAAGCAAAACTAAGACAAAGTATATAAAGTGTAATTTTAGTAACAATCACAATGGAAGAAAAGGAGAGTGAAGATTGAGCATCAAGAATTACCTTAGAGTGAACATTTTCGGTATTTATGATCGATTATCACAACGACTGGGGAGATTGGAGTGGATGTGATCCATAGAATTACGGCGGGACAGCATAAGTGTAGGAGTGCATCTGGAGTACTGTGCGATAAACGAGTACCCATTAGATTAAAAGGGAAGTTCTATAGAATGACTATTAAACTAGCGATATTGTATGGGACAAAATGTTGGGCAACTAAGAAACAATATGCGGAGAAGATGAGGATGCTACGGTAGATGTGTGGCAAGACTAGAAAAGACAGAGTTATGAATGTGTATATTTGAGAATGGGCAAGAGTAGTACCGATAAAAGACAAGTTAAGAGAGAATAGATTGAGATTGTTTGGTCATAAACAATGAAGATCCACAGAGGTAGTAGTGAAAAGATGCGATACAGCGACGATAAATGATAATGTTAGGAGAAGGGGTAGACCTAGATTGACGTGGACTGGTGTAGTAAATAAAGATATGAATTTCCTTAATTTGACTAATGATATGGCCTTGGATAGAGTCAAGTGAAAAATAAGGATTCTTGCAGCCGACCCCATTTGATGAGACTTAAGGCTTGGTTTGGTTAGTAGCAGCATCTAACAGTACTATTATTAAGTGAAATTTAGACTTGGTGTCTAAGCCTTCACGTGATGCCCAAGCCTTCACGTGATGCCCTGTGGCAGTTTTGGGGCACTTACCAATCAGTTTTATTAACTAGACTTATTTACTTACAGCCCTGACTAATAAATTTATTACTATAAATTTATTTATAAAAATAAGAGAGACTAATACATTTATCAATAAGACAATGGGTAATAAGTCCCAAAAGTAGGACCTATTGGTAATTTACTAGCAAGCTTTTTCTAACCTAAAATAAAAAATTACTAGCGGGTGGTACACGCGATACGTGTGCAATTCAAATAAATAATTTTAAAAAAATTAATATTATAATATGAATGTTACTCAAGTGGTAAAAGTGTTCTTAATGAAAATCAAGACTTTGGATTCAAACCTTATGCATCACTTTTGCCCATACATATTATGACATTAATTTCTTTATTATTTGTTTTTTTTTTTTTTTTTGTTACTTATTCCGCTAGTGACTAGTATATATAAGGGAAATTTAGTCAACACCTCTCCATTGAACCCTTGTTTGGTGAAAAATATAGACTAATTTATTTTTCTTCATAAGCCCCCTAGGAAGAAAACACATACTTGAGTAAGGATAAAGTAATTTTTTTTTTCTTTGGACAATATTCCCAAAGTAACATGTTACTGTGAACCAGAGTACCATGTTAGTGTGAGACATAATAACATGTTACTGTCAAATAGAGTAATTGTCAAACAGAGTAACATGTTACTGTAACATGTTACTATTAAACAAAGTAACATGTTACTATTACTGTTTATATAAATTTCAACAGCAATAATTTTTTTTTATAAAGAATTTCATAGTCAATATGGATCTTATTTGATAGATCTTGATGAAAGAATGCTGAAAATATTAATTTTATTAAAAATCGACATCTATATCAAAGGTTATATTATTTTAAAGTTTAATATTTTAATAATAATGATATTTGTTGAACTTTTCAAGAAAAATATTTTAGACTTGTTCTTAATATATTAAAATTTTATTATGAGCGAGTTTTGACCAAATCCCCCTATACATAAAGCCATTTCCCAAGAAGACTATGGATTCTATTTTTTGCTGTTTGAAAATAAGAAATAAAAGATTAATATTAAAATTTGTTTGAGAATTTATTTTTTTGGAAAATCCCTACGTCAGAAAACACTTTTTAAGTTGATTTTCTTTACCATAGAAATCTATTTTCACAGAGAAACAAAATCATAAATATTCATGAACTTTCCAATTTTTTCAGAAAGCACACACTCACACACACACACACACGAAAACATACCAAACAGATGAGGCCATAGGTTGCTTACAAGCCATTAGACGATTTGTCACCACACTATTGTCTTTAGTTTCCCTCCCCCTATATGTAGCCCTGCCTCTATATACACTTTTTTGCAGAGACACGCACAAACAATGGTTCATTTGGTTTCTCCATACAAAGCCATGAGCTCAAAGCTCTTCCTAACCACATCAACAGTTCTTGTATTATCAGTCTTTCTCTCATCAATTGATCAGATTAAAATTGTCTCTCATTTGTTTCAAACCAAGTTATCTGCTAGTGACAAGCATATCATTCCAATTGTGGACGCAGTTGGGCCTGAGAGCTTTGCCTTTGACCCACAAGGCAGAGGTCCATACACCGGTGTATCAGACGGCCGGATTGTCAAGTGGCTACAAAATGAACGGCAGTGGATTGGTTTTGCTGTGACCTCTCTGCATAGGTATGCCCTACCTTATCATCATTATCAACCTTCTGCATTCATATTCATTTAGTATGGAAAATTATTAAATACTTACAGAGTAAGCATGTACTATATATAATAGTCTACACAATTACTTTAAATAAAGGTGAATCAATATGTATTTTTTTTTATAAATTTTTCTATTGCGTGATTAATTTAGAATTATATAAATCGTATTAGATAATATTTTAAATGGTAAATTACATTAATGGTCCCTATAGTTTGGGGTTTGTGTCATTTTGGTGCCCGACTCTTCAATTGTAGCACATTTGATCTTGAATTTTGAATCTTATTCCAAATAAGGATAATTGCAGATACAATTGGATTTTTCAAGGGCAAAATCGTCAATTTGATAAAATATAAATTAATTTGACAAAAATAAATGTCAGAAATTTATTTTTGAATTTCTAAAAATTATTTCTAACTACTAAAGATAAAATTATATAAAACTGATAAATCTTTTAGACATTTATTTATTTTTACCAAATTAATTTTTATTATGTATTTGGATGATGATCGTGTAAAATTAATTTTTAAAAATTAATCATGTAATTTTTATTAATTTTTATCAATTTTACATAATTTTATTTTTGATGAGTAGAAATAATTTTTTAAAAATTTTAAAATATTTTTTTTGATATTTACTTTTGTCAAATTAGTTTATATTTTATCAAATTCACGATTTTACCCTTGAAATTAAGTAATGGTATGTTCAATTGTCCTTATTTGGAACAATATTCAAAATTCGGGATCAAATGTGTCACAATTGAAAAGTCAGGGACTAAAGTGACACAAGTTTCAAACTATAGGGACTATTAATGTAATTTGCCCTATTTTAAAATTACTTAATATTATGTCCTTGGAGGATATTGAATTGATTTTGGGGATTGGCGGTTACCAAAAAGTAAAAAATATATACATACATACTCAATTGTAAATATTGTCTTTGGAGGCTTTGTAGTTCGAGCTTGAGTCACAAAAACAACATTTTCAAAGAAGTAATGTTGTGTACACTTTGTTCCTCTCATATTATGTTTTAGCATAAATTGTGTATTTGAGTGTTTTTTATTTAAATCATAGATACTTTAATAGCCCGGATAAATATTCAAAAAAATGTGTTTAATATTGAATTATAACATAGATTTAACCTTGCTGTAGTGTGCATTATGTACAAAATAAATTTAATTTATACATTTCAAATTTTGAGTTCTTAAATAGGCAACATAATTGTGTTTTTTTTTTTTTCTCGTAATATTTTCCCAAATATATATGTCAATTCTAAATAGGGGTAGCTAATGGATTTGCTTGACCACACAAGGGTTGTAATGAAGCCTTCAATCCCTGAGGGACCTAATTTTCCAGGTGGGGGTCATATATTATTTATAATGTTTTTCATATGCACCACTTTTTAAAGATATATGTTTTCCTTTCCTATTAGATTTCATCCAAACAAGTTTTAAAACAATAATGGTATATATACAGAAAAGGAGATTTTTTTTTAAGGTCCCTGATATTTAGATTTTATAGCATAATGGACATTCAATATTTTAATAATGTCTAAGATCCCTCAAATTAATCTAGAGAAAATTTGACTTCACAGAGAAAATTGGTCAAGAGAAATTTCTCTGGACTTTCCAGAGAATTCTCTGATCTTCCGTAGATTTCCTACTGTAAATTTCTCTGGCCTTTCCTTCTCTCCAGAGAAATTTTCCTTATTTTTTTTGTCTGGCCTTCCTTATACTTCCCACTCTCCAGAGAAATTTAAAATTTCTCTGGCCTTCCTAGCCTTCCCACAAAATTACCTCTCCAGAGAAATTTTGGAAATTTCTCTGGCCTCCCTAGACTCGATGTGTTGCAGGTAATGTAGTCTCTCTTCCTCACTTCCACTACCGAATCTTTGTTTCCATCGTAATTCCACACTGTTGCATTGCATTAGAGAAAGATTTTAAAATCAATAAAAACAGACACAGAGACAGATTAAGAATGGAAATGAAGATGAATGATTGAATTACTGAGAGAATCACCAATGAGGAAGCGAAAGTTTTGAGCCCATAGATTGAGAGACTCAGATTCAGACGGAGGAGAAGACCAAAGCTCGAACTCACCCATCAATGGCATATGTAGACCGCGCTTTCTCCATTTCCGAGGAAGACATCATGATGGACTCCTCTTATAGCTTAAACAATCATCCTCCGATCAAAGAGATCACTTTCGTTGTCTCTCTCCTCATTTTCGGAATCCAGAAGGAGAGAGGAAGATGAAAGGGACGGCGGTGATGGTAGTTAGTCGGCGGCACTGTGGCGACGGAGAGAGAGAGAGAGAGAGAGAGAGAGAGAGAGAGAGAGGTAGAGAAGAGAGAGAGAGAGTTTACATCGATCCCAGTTTTCTAACCCGACCTTTATGGTGTTTCGGACTCGGGTTTTGTGGTTTAATGTGGTTGTTTATGTCTTTATCTCCCCTTACTCTTTAAATTCGAGTTTTGAAATGTCTTGGGCATGTTTAGGGCAGGTTGGTAGTGAGTGGGTGCAAGTGGTTGTTGCTCAGAATCTTGGTCTTCCGCTCGAGTAGGTCTTTTTGCACTCGAGTGGGGTTTGCAATCGCTCAGCATTTTGTGTGTCTGCAAAAATACTATAGAAGTGTTTTTCACGCTCGAGCGGCGTTTATTACCCTCGAGTGGGTCTGAGCTTGAGCGGACCATCTTGCGCTCGAGCGGCTGACTGAAGTCTGTAAAGTACTGGATGAGTGTATTCTACGCTCGAGCGGATTTTGCCTGGTTGTTGTGTCTTGGCGCTCGAGCGGCCTTTCTTGCGGTCGAGCGGGTATAATTTTTGTGTTTGACGCTCGAGAGTCAAACTCTCCGCTCGAGCGGACTGTACGTATATCAGATCGCGTAAGTGACATTTTAAATCACTTTTTCTGTCCTCTCTCTAAAACTTTTCAAAACCCTAAGTTGAGAGCTTCTCACTCTAAAATACTCTCTGTCTCTACATTTTGACCTAGATGTAGTGGTCTCTTCACCCTTCTCCCTTCATTAAAAAGTTGGAGCTTCTCAAGATCTCCATTTTCATCCGGGTGGAAGTTGATTTCGGCGTCTTTGGAGTTCATCTCTTGCTTGGCTCATCTTTTCTTCTTGAGGTAGGGATAATCTACTCTTTATTATGAGTTTTAACATAAATTTTAGTCATTTTGTATAAATGGTGAGATTTGGGGCTTTTGGGGTGAAGTTAGGTTTGAGATTGAAATTATAAAAGAGGGGTTCTCTATTTTTGGGGTTCCATGTGTATGTGTAGTCTCAAAAATGAGGTTAATGTGTATAATGGGTGGAATTTGGTCTTGGGTGCAACATTTGAAAAGGAATGAGAGATGCCCTAATTTGCATTATGTGAATTATTTGTATAATTGATGAAATCAAGGTGGAATTATGAAATTGGCTTGGAAATTATGAGTTAGGGAAGATTGTGATTAAATGGTGTAGTTGGATTGGTAAATCACTCACCTAGAGAAAATGTGATAAATTATCTGTTTGATAAATTATTTATCTGTTTAGAAATAACTGTTTTGGGCTATCGGTGGAGAATAGCCATGATTGTTGTAGAAACTGCATGTTGCTTAGGTAAATTGAAATCAATCAATTAGAACATGTCATTGAATATGACGACTGGATTAATACATTGAAAATGTGATATGAATGACCAGTGTATCTTTGCATATGTATCTTTATTTGGGAGAAGAAAGAGGATGTACTCCATTGTGTAGGAGGAGATAGGGGATGTACTCCACTGTTCGGGAAGAAGAAAGGGGATGAACTCCATTGATAATTAAGTTGGCCGGAGTGTCCAGGGTGAGAGTCCCGAAACCTTTTATACATCTGAATGATGTTAATGATTGAAGTGTTATCTATATGAGTTGTAGTCTCATTTTGAATTGTTGATGAATCGATGTGTTACCTATATGAATTGTAGTGTCATTTCAAATTGTTGATAATTGAAATGCTGATTATATGAGTTGTAGTCTCATTTTGAATTATTTGAGTGAATGATGACCCACTTTTATAAATTAACTTGGGTAAATGAATAGAGATGAATTTGAAATATGGATGTATTGTTGGTGGTTTTGGTAAAGGGTGTAAATTGGCTTATAAGTGTTAACCATTTATTGAATACTAATGTTTTAGTTATTTCTCAGATTTGGTTTAGCACATCTCTACTGGGCTTTGGCTCACCCTACTTAGGACACCATTTTCAGGTACAGGTGATATGTCACCTCCAAGAATATAGCTTGGGAGGTTTTGGAGCTGAAGGCTTTATTTTGTCGTTTTGCCTATATTTGTACTTAAATGTAAATCTAAGCCGAGGGCTTTAGTTGTAAAGGAGTTAGAACTCTTCTTTTGTGTAACCAAGTAACAACTTGGAAAGATGTAAGCCACAGGGCATTCTATTATTTTTTGTAAACATTTGGAACTTATATGAAATACCCTTTTTATAATATCAACTCTGATGTACATATGGAAATGTGATTATCTATCACGGATATAGACCTGTTAAATGATGAGATTGTGTATTATTTTCAGGGCATTACAAAGTTGCAATGGCGAGTGGGAGACATAGCGGTCGAGAACGAGATGTGCAGAGGTCGAGAACGAGAACAAAGAAGAAAGAAGAGAGAGAGAGAGAGAGAGAGAGAGAGAGAGAGCGGGAGTGCGGGTAAACATCATAAAATAATAATTGTGGATCTCTTTCATTACTAAAAATGCAAAGAAGACAGAAAATCTCTGCATAAAAACTCTCACGTGAAGGAGGACCCATATATGTGTGACTTACATGGGACCTACTTTCATATAAGAGTTTCTATACATTTTGTAGATAAATTTTCTGTGTAAAAATAGTATTTCTCTAAAAACATATTCATTGAATGGAGGAAATATTTCAACTACTTAAAATGACAACAGAAACTTTAATATTGGAGTTCATCTAATTAAA